GCGTCGTTTCATTATACACAATGCCCCACGACTCGTGCCACCTTTATCAGCCGTCGCCCTATTATGAGTATTTGACTGACCAACACCTCGCGTTATACGCCGCTGTGCAAAGTCCAGCAAGCGCCGCACGCCCGACGACATTCCGCCGCAAATGATACCGTAGTCTTCTTCCCTGTTGTCAAAGTGACAACGTCTACGATTCGATCCGCACTCGCGCACCGTCGCTATCTACGCTGCTAACCTGTTGACGTCCGAGGAACACGCCGGACAACGCGTCGTCGATGCCAGCGAAAGTGCCGCGATATTATGCGAAGATTATATATTCCTACCGCCACCGCTAATATTAATATATATATATTAATATTTATACGTATATACGTATATGTTAATATTCATTTATATATTCCTACAGCCGACGCCTCTGCTGCCGTATATGCCTCGTGTATAATGTTCCCTCCGCCATGCCCGCCCACATAAACACGGCTATACCTCATGCATGATACGTTTACGTACTTAAGTCCCTTTAAATATATATATATTCTAATTACTATTAAAATTTATATATTAATACGCTTTATACTCATTAAGAGATATGTAGTATATTCATTCCGATTACGGGGGATGATTCTCGTATCGTCATTTTTCGTCACTTCCTCCACGTTGCGCACCTGCTACTTTCCTTGGATATGGTAGGCGTTTCTTAGACTCCCTCTCCGGAATCGAACCCTGATTTCCTGTTACCCGTTATAACCATGATATTGATATTAACTACTATCATAACATGAAACTAAAAAGTGAAAAATAAATATAGTTTAAAAAAACTAAAAAAACACGCTTTTAAAGCACATTAAACTAAAAAGTTCAAAATAATTTTTAAAATAAGCTTAAAACAATAATGAACGAAAAGTACTAGTATTATTGTGAAAAAGCGTCAGGCGCTCAATATACAAAAAATATGGCATAAAGCACCCACGCTTTTTTTCACAATAATACTAGTACTTTTCGTTCATTATTGTTTTAAGCTTATTTTAAAAATTATTTTGAACTTTTTAGTTTAATGTGCTTTAAAAGCGTGTTTTTTTAGTTTTTTTAAACTATATTTATTATCTAAAATAATACTTATTTGTTATAGTGAGCACTTCTATAGAATTAAAATATTAAATAATATTTCATTAATTTAACAAAATTTATTTTTAGATACCAATGTTTTTCGTCTATCAGATATGTATAATTATTTAAATCTTCACATTAAAAAAAAACAATCTTCATCTTCTTTATTAAAATTATTTTCACGCAGCAATTCAAAAAAAAGTTGAATAGATTAAAAACTATTTGTAAAACAGCAAGTAACTCAAAGACGATACCATGGAATATTATGAATAAGAAATAATTTTTTTTTATTACGATTAATTNAATTTTTTTTATTACGATTAAATTACAGGATTAATTAATTTAAATATTAAATATTGTACTTATATTAAATTAAATTATATTATATTATATTAAATTGAAAAATGGTTAATTTAAGTTGTGTGTAATAGAATAAAATAAAAAAAAATAAACAAATATAGTATTATTTATCATTACTATTATTTTAATTTTATTTAACCATCGTAGCTAAAATCGTGGGATTGCCATGATACTCTCTGTCAGTAGACGCATATTAAACGATATTTTTAATTTGGGTGTCAAACATCTTGCAATGTTTGTAATGGTGTACCGTACTCAATGAATGAGATGACACGTATCCCGTAGTCTTAACTAATTCGGAGATGAATGATATTGTATTTTTTAATTTGGTTGTCAGTTTCAGTAGGTTGGATTTAAAAATAAGTAAACTTTATAATAACAAAACAAAATATAATCGGGGTGGTATAAATAGTAAAGAATGATAATAGTAAAGACGTAAAGACATTATAAATACTAATACTCTGATTTTTAGTTATTACTTGATTAGTGTAGTTAGTGTGTTAAAATAACTCTAACCTGATATTTACTGGAATAGCGATGATAAAATCTTGGAAAGTGATTTGCAGTTGTTCGAAGCGTTTGTTTAAATTAGAGGAAGTGTGTTAATAAAAAGACAATTATAAAAGCGTATTTATTTCTAAGCAAAGTGTTAATTATTTTAACAAATGTAAGTATTTAGACTAAATGAGAAAAGTCAAGCTAAAAGTCAGAAAACATACAAAGAATATACTGATATAGACTGTAAGAGAAAAACTAAAGTAATAACTTGACAGATGAAAAGAAGTGAGTGAGTCAGGGGAGCTATGGCCCGTATCCCTTTTATAATAGACAAATAATCTGGATTATTGATTGGATGACTGGATCTCTAGAGATGTTGTGGTATCCCAGTTAAGTGAGCGACAGTGGCGAGCGTACACAATCCGATCGTAATAAAATAAATAATAATAATTAAATTAATAGTAGAAGATAATATTTTCGGAATTAAGTTGTAGTCATAAAAGTATAATTTGTAATAAAAAATGAGTAGTTGCGAGCCTGGTAATATGTCGACTGCCTGTCGTTATTTATTTCATTAATGAGGAAGAATATTATCAGTTTTGTTTACAGCCCCGCGTGCCGCATTCCTATAGTAGGTTTTAGGGACGTTTGTGTTGATCAGGCACTAGTGTGGTATTGAAATGCTAATGTTGGTGAAGGACGAATAATCTGTACGTTACAGTTCACCCTCCCCCGGTAAAATTCGTCTCTGAATCTTGTAAAAGAAAAACAATAAATGAGAAGGAATTGGTGATAAAAGTATATAAATCCTGTAAATAAAGGTAACGTTATTGGTTGATCAAGGAGGTACAGTGTCATCATAGCACAAAACCACTTGTTTTTTTCGATGACCACACTACTGGGTTCGCAGGCTCTTAAGCCTTAGAGGAGGTTCCTTCGGTGGAGCTTTCAATAGTCGGCCTATAAGGACGCCCAAAGGAATTACAAATCTGCATTGAAAAAGTATAAAAGAGAAAGCTGGAAGAAGTTCTGTGGGGATTTTGAAAAAATTACGACTTTAAAATTAGTTGCTTAAAATGGTATGTAGTATTTTATTTTCGTGTAGAATAAATGCAAAAAATTAAATGTTGAAAATTACGTAGTTTATGACTTTTCCATAATATGTAAATGATAAATTTTGAAACTCTATAAGTGGTGTTAAAATTATATTATCTTAATATTACCAAAAGAGCACAGTAAAAAAATAGTCAGAAACAAGGTGTGATAGTATAAAAGCAATAAAGTTTCATGTCACATTCAAGAAATTATTGATGCGTTAGATGAAATATTATATACTACACATGATCCGCTAATTAAAATCACATTAATTCATTAAATTCGGTTTATTCCGGATTTTATTCGGATTAGTACAATATAAATCCTTATGAGTTTATATATTTGGTATAAAGTATTTATATACTACAGCATAGTAGTCGAAGAATCAACAATATCTATTGATGTAATTAACTTTATGAAGTAATAGAGCTTTTCCGAACTTAGCCATTGCTCCTAGGATTTTTTTATGAGTCCCAATAACTTAATATACTACGGAACGCAAAATAAATACAAGAAATTAAAATTGAGTGTTGAAAATTACGTTGTTTATGGATTTTCCATAATACGCAAATTGTAAATTTTGTAAATTCTATAAGTAGCGTTAGCCTGCGAAGACCAGAGCCACTTTTTTATCATTGGTTACCACGTCCCTGTAGGTCGGTACCCAATGAGTTTTCTTACATGGAGGTTCTTGACCCTTGTCCTCAGGTTTTTGAGCTTCGGTTCCCTTTGACTTTTTCAAGTCATCGGTTCCCTCGTCTCCCTTATTTGGTAGGTTCTTCTGTCCCTTCATTATTCCTCTTCAGCTTGCGCCTCTGACTGCCGCTCAGTTTCTCAGGTCTAAGTTTTAGACCCTCGATTTTGTCAGCTACTGCTCCCAGTTGATCTTGCGATTCCTGGTCTACATTTGCTGACGTTGCTGTCTCTTTGCTAGTAGACGGTTCACCAAGTGTCCCGTTGTTGGCATTGAGACCTGCGCCGCGGGCTTACTATCGCTATTGGTAAATTTTATTATTACTTTTTCGTTATTATCATATAAGGTCAATGTTCAATTGCGCATACACAAGTTAGCCATGTATTTATTCAAAAAATCATAACCCAAAAGATTTCCCCTTTCAAGTTATCAACTACTCGAGCAAATCCAAATTCATATTTTCTAATTTTCTAAAATACTTTTCTGGCAATCCTCGTATTATATATCGTATTACATCCCTCTCAGGCATATTTTTATCTACCCTTTTACATCTGCCTTTACATTCAATAAATATTCCTGAATCGTCTCCGTATCTGTTTTTCTCCTTGACTCTAAATTTTACTTTCTTAATCGAACTTGGACATCTGAGTTGTAGAACCCTATCATTGCTATTTTTGCTGTGAGCCAAGTTAAGTTATTGTTTAGTGATTCAATCGCTTCGAATACCGTTTGCGCCATATCGCGTAAAGAGATAGGTAACATAATCAATTTAGGGGAGAAATTCACGAAAGCATAGACCTGTTTCTTAACCGATACAAGAGAGCCAGCATCATAAATGAATGGAACGATGAAGAAAAAGTTCAATTTTTAACAGCCTTTTTGGAAGGTACGGCTTTACACTTCTTTGAATATCTAGAAGACAACACCGTCGGCCAAATTAAGTGGGAAGATTCGGAGTATAAAATAAGATTAGAATTTGAACCAACAGCTCAAATAGACATGTTGAGAATGATTTTATAAAAACGCCATCAATCTGCAATGCAATTAGGTCTTCTAAACAAAAGAAAATCACACTTTATGACTTATTTGTATTATTAGAAATAAAAGACGTCCCAGGCTATTGGTTTTCAGATGAAGAAATTGCCAGTATATTAAATCACTATTCCTTTTCGAATTAATTTTCAAATGGGGCTGCCCTCGATTTATAACAAGTGACCGATGAACTCACTTCAAAAATAAGGAACTGGCACAAATTTGTCACAACTTAGGCATCAAACAGAAGTTCAGTTCAGCCTACTCGTCCCAATCTCAAAGATTTGTAGAACGAACAAGTGAGACGCTTTGTACAGTTCTACGACATTATATGAAAGACAACAATCAGAATAAATGGTCACACTACTTACCAGCTGTCACTTTTAGCTACAACACTACACCACTGTCTACAACTGGATTTTCGCCATTCTATCTAATGCATGGATTTCATGCTGCACTGCTAATAGACAACAAAATAATCCTTCAACCTCTGTCATATGACCTAAAGAAAGCGCTAGAAGACTTACATAATGTTAGAATGAAACTACCAGACATAATAGTGTCGTAACACAATAAATTGAAAGGTGAAAATGTAATGTGTACGAAGATGAAGATGAGAATGTGGTGTCTGCTGTCTAGGTATTCACGTGCGTGTTGTCGTACAGCAGTCACCGTGCTCAGCTGACACTCCGGGTTAGCTGTGGATGTCGAAAGGCTGTTGTTATAGTAAGTAAATAAGAGTAACACCTAGGTATGAGGTGCAGACGAAGTGCAAGACAAAAGTACTCTGAAATGTTGTGAAAGAGAGTAGATAGGTTTAAAAAGGAAAAAAACAAAGACTTTACTTTAAGCAGTAAGCCGAACAGCGATAACCGAGTACTGAGACTGATGAGACTAATTATTATTTATGAGTAATGACACGAGGCACTGGAGTCGACTGACCACGATGGTCAGGACTTTTGGGTTTTTATAATAATTAGAACTATTGCCAATTTGGAAATAAATATTATTTGTTAATTCATCAGTCTCAGTAAGCGGATGTGCTGTCTGTATTTTATTAAAATAATTCTCACAATAATGGTAACGTGACACTATCACAATAGCAAAAGCTCAAAAAATACAGAAAATCAACTATGATTTATCGCATTTAGTCTTAGTCAAATTTCCTTTTATAATAAAAAATCAATATGCAAAATTAGGCCACCAATATCGTGGTTCATTTAAAATAATTAATAAAATAAATGACGTAAATTATGAAGTAGAACTAATCCTAAATAAAAATGTTGTGCAGGATACCCTACACATTAGACGACTAAAACCATACTACGGCAGAAACAATGATGACAAAAACTACAGCGTTGATATTATTGTGCGTGATCATAACAATGATAGTAGTCACACGACTACTACAAGCGGAGGAAATAAAAAACCCGACGATCATTTTTACAAAGGTACGTCAAATAAAATTTTTCAGTGGTCATTGGACAATCGTATTGAACAACAATACGAAGCCAATAAGAAGTAATATAATTGGACTTCAAGCCCTGCAAAATATCCTGCCATCCAACAAGCCTCACTCCAAGCAAATCTCCCCTGAAAACAAGGTAGCGGTAAAATAC